CTCGCTTCTTTGACTGTAAATTCTGAAACTGATTTACTGTTTTACTGTAAATTGACTGTAAATTGAGTGCGTGATAGAGTATTATATACCATGCTTTCTAGACCCCCTAAATCCTGAAATTGACTTACAGAACTGACTGTAAATTCAGTATATATTAGCGTGTGATTGTAAATTCTGAAAACAATTTACAGAAATGGGTGTAAATTGAGCCAGCATATAAAGTGATTATGCATAATTCATGAATAAATTAGCCGTTAGTTTGTAAACCAAGTTCATAATAGAGCGAAATAATGTAACAAAAATAAAATAAAAATCCAAATAAAAAGTACTCTACTATGGCTTAAAAAAAAGGACCATTGATTAAAAAATTCTTCTCACCTGCGTCTTGAGGGAACACCACTATCTTCATCACCTTCAGGAGCTTCGTCGGGATCTTCTGCTACTTCCTCAACGTAGTCAGGCTGCATTAAGTTGTCGTCTTTCTCACCAGCAAAACCTTGGCGGAGGAACTTACTTTCGTCAACTTCGACAGCTACAGAACGGCTCCTCCTGGAGAAAATGGAATGAATCTTATAGAAAACGGAGAGGATTCATGGGGAGACGTACATAAAGTGGAACTGATTCACTCGTACATATAAAAGTAAAGATAACAAAAGTACTCCATATATAAAAAATAAACATAAAAGTACTCCATATATAAAAGTAAAGATAACACAAGTAATCCATATATAAAAGTAAAGATAACAAAAGCACTCCATATATAAAACTAAAGATAACAAATATACTCTCGATATAGAAGTACAGATAACAAAAAGTACTTCATATATAAAAGTTCTGAAAATATGAATCAGTTGAAAGAAACACAAAATAAAGGGTTTATTACACAGGTCTTCCTCTCGTTTTCTTTATAATTATTGACTTGTGGATTACCCACCTTTACTACGCACAGTAATAACATCATAACAACAATAAGAAATGAAAACAGGAGAAGGAAGAGAAAGAGAGATAGAAGGATGGATAATGAAGAACGGAAGAAGACATATTATATTTGAAAGAAGGAAGGAGGGAGGGAAAGGGAAGGAGTGAATTAAGTTAGAGAGCATAAGGAAAGAACGAAAGGCGTAAGGATGGGTGTAAGGAAGGTGTAAGGAAGGAAGGAGGGAGGAAGGGAATGATGAATAAACATGGTGAAAGCCTGACAATTGTTGAGAGAGAGAGAGAGAGAGAGAGAGAGAGAGAAGACTCACCTGTCTAGGATGGCAGGACGAGGAGGAATGTCGTGGAGAGGTGGTTCAGTTACCTCACGTTTCCTGTAGAAGGGAGATGAAATATTATCATTAATTATGCTCTCTCCCTTTACTTCTTCTATTTCCCACCCCCATCCTTCCTTTTCCTTCCCACCATCCTCCCATCTCCCTATCCTTTCCTCTCTTTTTTTCCTTCCTATCTTTCCCTCATCCTTCCTCTTCTCACTATCATCCTCTCTTTGTTCCCATTATTCTCCCTTCTTCCTTGTTGTCTGCACCTCCCCTTTTAGCCGTCAATTTCCATTTCTCCATTCTATCCAATCAACCTCCCCCCCTCTCCTTTTCCTACACCGACCTCCCCCTCTTCCAATGTCCACTTCCCCCATTCCCACTCCAGCCCTCCCACCTTTCCCACTCACTCTCTCTCTCTCTCTCTCTCTCACTCACCTGCGACGTGCTGGTTTTTTAGGGTCGATTGTTCAGAGGAGGAAGAAGAGGAAGAGGAGAAAGAGAATGAAGAGTGGGAGGAGACGAAATAAGAGAAGGAGAGGAGAAAGGAGAGAAAGAAGAGGAGGAGAATACAGCAGAGAAACAGGAAAGATAAAGAAAGATCAAAAAAGAGAGAAAGAGATGGGAGGAAAAAACACCAATTAGTTTCTTTCAATATTCAGACAAATAGACTTAAGGTAACTCCCTACAATAACAACAGAAGGTAATTAACATGTAAATACCCTTATTAACATATATAACCACGTCATTAATTATAAATTGTCTTTTCTATACTAACTTAAACAAATTATATATTCGATGAAATATTGTATACAGTATATATATATATATTATTCCCATATATTGGAAGTATTGAGAATAGTTATATAGTAATTTGTAATATTTTTGTTGTATTTTTCGAATATTCTACAAAATTTGAAAAATATACTACACTGTACTTATAATTAAAACTCTATATAACACTTTACTTAAATTAACTAAAGAGTATCATTGTTCTATATATAATCAAAATACATGTAATATAAAGTCATATTAAATCTAAAGTCTAGAAGAAAAATGTATATTTTATAGTAATCGTAAAATATTGAATTAAATTTATATATAATATTTTCAGAGTTAAAATATTTTCCTTTGTTAAATATAATTTGTGTCAGAGTTTTATGGTAAATTTTGATAATTAAAAGCTCTCTGTATATTAAATATCCCATTCGTACACATAATATTCATAATATTCATTTGACACATCTATAATTTAATGAATATCCTGTTTATGCACTCTATTTAACATAATTATAAAAGTTAAAACATAAAATTTTTCTTCTCTGACTGGATAACATTTATTTTTTGTAATCCGGATTAAGTTGAGTCATCGTTCTTGAGTTACGCTGCCGTCATTAAATGCGTTTCAGGTGTCTGTGACGTCACGCAAGTTGACATTCCTGGCGTCTCCAAGTGACCTCTGTGCGCCTGGGATATATTTTATACTTCAGTGACGTCATGTCTGCCGTTTTTGTTATTTCAGTGACGTCATGGCTGCCGTTTTTGTTATTTCAGTGACGTCATGGCTGCTCTTGACATTTCAATAATGTAATGGTTGTCATTCTTGATACCTCAGTGACGTCACATGTTTATTATACCTGGCAGCATCAGAGATCAAAGATGACACACACACACACACACACACACACACACATAAAACAAGACATGCATACTTATAACATATCAGAACGCACTTACAAGGCACAATAAAATTCAAGCGACATACAAAACAAACTACACACATACACACACACACACACATAAAAAAACGTACATGCCAAAACACATTAAAACTACACAACCGCTAAAACTAAATATATAATTACACTCTACTTACCAACAACCAAAACAAACACACACACACACACAGACAAACAAACAAACACACACAGAAAAGGAAAGAGCAAGGTGTGATCTGTCATGCTACACACACTTAGCTGTACTGCCTGTGTAAGGGAGAGTCATGTCACCTTTATACACACTTCCAAACAGGCAAGGACACACGGTAAAATAGATACCTCTTTCATTTAAGCAATACAGTGTTGTTCAGTGTACGTGTAGCGGGTGTGAGTGACAGTTATCAACACAGATTCTTAGCAGACAACACAAATGCCTACCTGGTTAAGTGGGCTCCAGTCTTAATAGGCCCCAACACACACACACACACACACACACACACACACACACACACACACACACATGGAATCTAATAGACAACTCACAGAGGAAAGGCTTCACTGGACATTGTATAAATATGTATGAAGTTATTTTATACACAAGTACAATATATATCTTGGGACAAAATGTGGACAAATAGGATGACTAATGCAATGGATGTGAACTGCAATGTAGAAAATACACATATATTGACTAAAATGGACAAATCACATAAGGGCTTCACTGGACATAATACAGACATAATATTCACAAAAGTGGACAATACACAAAATGCTTGGGACATGACATATATATATATATACATATAATTACACTGGACAAAATCTATGCATCACTTTGACTAAACTGGACAATACACAAGAAGTGAATTGGACAAAAGACAAATGAAAAGAAAATCACACACCAGATTACTTTGGACATTATACATGAATTGGACTGGACAATACACATGGACTACACCTTGGATAATTTACAACATAGAATACATTGGACAGAACATACATAAACTGGTCAATTCATTTTACATACATGATGCAACTTCTGTGTTTTTCCACAGACCTGGCGTGCTAAATCCCTCTATCAAATATTGACGTGACAGGACTGACTCTTCGTGATTGACTGACTTCACCTGAGTGACTCTATACTTCACGCCAGGTCCAGGATTCTCACACACACACACACACACACCCATTGTGCTAAGTACGTCCACAAAATCAATAGTAATACTCGTAAGATAGCATTATCATCATCCTCAGCAGGGAGTCTGAACTGGGAGGGAGGGGGGGGGGGAGGGGATACATGGATCCCCTGGAGGTACAGCCGCAAACAAAAGTCCCGTCGCTTCTTCTGCTGCTCCATGAACCCCGAGATTCAGACTAGTGAACCCGAAGCAGTAGATATTGATTCAATATTTTTTTCATAAATGATTCGGATTCACGAGTCTGAATCTCGGGGTTCGTGGTTCAGGAGGAGAGGCGACTGGACTTTTGTCGGCGACTGTACCCAAGATATATTTCGAGGAGCCAAAGGTATATTGAGTGTAAATAGAATGTGCCATATGTATCACTGTATTGTTCATATACATAGTTCATTAAAGAAAAAAATGACAGAACCACTGAGAGGGGAAACGTGACATCTCACACTGAAACTAAGATGGACAGCTGAGGAAATTTCCGAGTGCTAAACCCACCAGGCGAATTCGAACACTTCATATGGTATACCAATGAGCTTGAAGCAGCTGGTAGAGTTCCGCTATTTTGGTAACACTGTAAGGGGAGAGGGATGGGAGGTGGACGGCTAGGGGTAGTGGTGGTGTAGTTACCAGATGGACTCTACCAGGTGGTTTCCGATTCACTGGTCTCACTGACGGGGTTCACATTTGTAGGAGAGTGTAGCGCTCGGATCTTTCAACTGTACGCCGACCTTAAAAGGTTCAGAACCACTGATCTACGACTTATGAAACCCGCCAACTATACTGTAGACTAAGTGATTTACAGAGGTTTGTTTACAAGCAAGATGACGAATGGTACAAAGTCGAAGTGGGATGAAATGAATTGAGTCCTAATCGGATGAAATTTTGAAAATAATATCTTGTGTATTGAGTTATAAAGATCAATGATCTGGAAAAATACTCAATGCTTTGGTGGTTTGTTTATTAGGTGGGTGTTTGCCTGTTAAAAGCTTCACCCATTCTGATTCTGATCCGTGAGGGATAATACTATCTTACCTTGAAGAACCAAGACGGTGGTGGTGGTTGGCTCAGTGGTGGTGATGATCGGCTCAGTGGTTGTGGTGGTCGGCTCAGTGGTTATGGCATCACTGCCTGCAGTGGTGGCATCACTGCCTGCAGGGGTGGTATCACTGCCTGCAGGAGTGGCATCACTGCCTGCAGGGGTGGTATCACTACCTGCAATGGTGGTAACACTACCTGCAGGAGTGGTATCACTGCCTGCAGGGGTGGTAACACTACCTGCAGGGGTGGTAACACTACATGCAGGGGTGGTAACACTACCTGCAGGGGTGGCATCACTACCTGCAGGAGTGGTATCACTACCTGCAGGGGTGGCATCACTACCTGCAGGAGTGGTATCACTACCTGCAGGGGTGGCATCACTACCTGCAGGAGTGGTATCACTACCTGCAGGGGTGGCATCACTACCTGCAGCGTTAGTGCCGCTGTTGGCCGTGGTCGTGTCGTTACTATTACTATCTGCAGCGTTAGTGCCGTTCTCAGCAGCATTATTCGTGGCCCCACCAGACTCTTCTTCATCCTTGAATTTCGATGGTTCTGCAAAATAACACATTAATGAAATTTACTAGACACTGAAAAAATCTATGTTCTGTACAGTGTTTTTAAATGAAAAAAGTCTAACAAGTCACCAATTAATATTAATTATTAATATGTGTTGTTAAGTGATTATTTGTCTCACGCCCTTTTATTTCTTTGAGGGGCAGCCAAACGCCCGCCTTTTCTAACCTGTCTGGTGAATTTTTGTTCCCAAGTAAAAGATATTTTTCCTAGAGCGACTTAACTCATCATCCATCAGTTAATCTTTGGTTTATTTTTTAAATATTTCAATAGAGTGAAGCACCAGCATCACTCCGTCACCCACCTTGAAGCAAGACTACCAGTGGTGAGGTTCATCCACATTTTGGAGTTTCACAGTTAACCTTACCTCACGTCACCTATGGGCCAAGTATATAAAAAAATGTGACGTCACAGTCCCGTAAGTTTTCCCGCAAGTGAGACTCTCTCTCGCATCCCTCTCCCTCCAACAACCTGCATTCTGAGTGTGTGTGTGTGTGTGTGTGTGTGTGTGTGTGTGAGCCCAGACTTCTCCAGCGCAAACCTTAACCTAGTACAGTATCAGCTATCTTAAGGCTAAGTGACCTTTTTAACCTAAATGATACTTTGATAATTATATGTAACTGAGTTGTTACTAATGTACTTATTATGTGACTAAGGTGCTCTTGCCAGTGAACCTTTACCATTAAGCTACACTTACTAGTAATGCCAGGTCCGAGATCCTGACGTAGTGTGTTGAGCGCCATTATGTGGGACCATCACAGTGTTCAAAATTCTTGTGTCTGTTGTTGCCATTTACCGCTTTAAGTCCTTATGCATTTGTCTATACCTGGCGTAGTGTAGTACTGACGTGTTGTCCTGACTCGGTCTATCGACTTTATCCAGTTGTTGTAATTTGTATATAGTATCAAGATTAATTACAAGCAAATAACTATTACTTTTCTGAGGCTTAAATTCACTGGTAACACACGAATTTGTTCACGAGAGGAATTTCTAGTTAACATCTTCCATATATATCTCACTGAGTATTCCTTGGTACCACACTCACTAATAACGCCACTTGTACTCATACTGCCCTGAAAACATTAGGCTCCGAGAGGGGCCTAGTGTATTGGGCACCCCCCTTGCATCCTGTACAAGGCAACACGCCAAAAACATTTACAGCGGCCAACAGGGAAGCACACGGTGTTCTTGCTCGCCTTCTTTGACTCATGCGATTAAGGACACAAGTACCTGAGGGGCCATGGGTTATGTCGGCAAGGTGCGTATAGTGACGACAGGGTGGGTGTGTGGAGGGTGAATTCCAAATACGGTTCATCTGTAAAGTGTGGCAGGTTAAAATAAAAGTGCCAGCCCTGTCTCAAGGAGGAGGGATATTTGGTCAGGGAGGGACGAGGTGTTGGTGACGGCTGGGGACCTGTAGGAGGTGATAAGGCAAGTGAACCCATAAAATGACCTTTTGAATCCCATACTATACAAACACTAATAAATATGCTATAATTAACAGGGATACACTTTGTCATAGCATAAAATTTCCAGTGAGAACAGATGATCCACTGCCTACCCCCTGGATTATGACGTCATAGTCAAAATAGCGTGACTTCATAATTAAAAGGCAGAGTAGGAGGAGGTTTAGGAACTTCTCAAAGTTCTCAGGACTCACCTGGGAGGCAGTTTGGTACAGCTTTATCGTTGAGGACAGCGTCAAGAACCTTCTCCAGGCACGCGTCAAGGTCACAGTGACACCAGTTGCGATGGTAGAATTGGCCTTCTACTCCGGCGCCCACCACCATGGCCAGCACCGTAACCAATGTCCACACTGACGAAAACAAGACCAAAAAAAGTAGATTAGATAAGGTAAGGATAGGATAAGTGTGACCAGCCACACCGCTGAACAAAACCCGGATATATACCTTATTTATCACCTTAACTCTCATGAAAATCAGAACCACTGAAACGAACCTCCGAGCTGTTCACCTTACCATAGGTGGTGCTGTATGTGTTTCATTCGAGCTTGGGTTCAGTTTCGAAATGCTTCAAATTTACTTCAGAAACTAATTAACATTCAATTTCACACCAAAGCCAGAACGAACATAATATGACGCCAATTGTCCGAAACAGTGACTCAAATTAACAACACATATCTTACACTATATTCAAATCACATCAAATTCAAATCTTTCAACATTTATCCTAGAGGGAAGACAGTTTCCCTCTCCCTAGAATGACAGTGAGTCGTGCAACAGGTATTAGCTAAGGTGTGAAACCATAGCACCAACCGCAGCGTCACATATCGTCCGTCAGTCTCTGGACAATTTGCGTCAGAATAAGTCTGGTTCCGGCCTCAGTGTGAACAAGTATCATCCTTTACCTACAGGTGACTATAGTGATAATATTTCCCTCCATTTGATTAAGAATAAATACGAAGAATTATGAAAAGAACAGATTAATGGGGAGTTATCAAGGAGATTAAACATTTTGGGATAACAAAAAATAAACAAATAATTAATACGCAATAGAGAATAAAATAAACACATAGAATAATAACAATAATATCAAACAAATACAAACACCACATAAAAAAAAACACAAAAACTAAAATTACTCCCCCATATAAATTCCAGGAATAAAACAGATTAAACAAAAGCTACACTATACAAAATGATGATAAAAACATCATTGTTACAAAAGCCAAACATAACAAAAGCTTAATTAAATCTATTACAACAACATTCAAAATTATCACTGGTTGAGTGAAGTGATTACAGACACCAAGCGAACAATAGACTAATTAAATTATATATAAAAAAAAACCGACGAGAGAGATTGTATGAAAATATACCAGCCTTCATATATACCAACAATCATAGTATACTAACAAACATATACATCAGATATACCACAATTCGTATATACCATGATTTAGATATACCAAGTTAACAATATACTACATTAACAGTATATCAAGTTATTATCAGTATACCATGCGGCACGAGTCTAAGCTTTGATTCAACTATTAGCATTAGGTAATTGGGAAAAAAATCAGGTCATAATCCCAGGAACTCTAAAGTCAATACCTCTCTCTCTCTCTCTCTCTCTCTCTCTCTCTCTCTCTCTCTCTCTCTCTCAACTATACTCAGGAGAACACAGGTAACAAAAATAATGGTAATTATTATATTCTCAATGTAATACCAATCATTTAAATGCAATTACAATCCCTAAATGTAATTACAATCTTATAATCGTATCATGGTAGAGTCTTAAGCTAAATTTGATGCCATTGTAACGCCCGAGTTTTTTGTTAAATTATCTAAACACATTATCACTTACGTTTAAAATTTAACTTCAGTTTATTTGACAGTGAGTCCTGACATTAGTTACGACTTTTCAAGCTAGTTCCTCTCTCTTCAATTCTGGTTAAAAATAATATTAACTTGATGTAGTGTTAATATTATCATCCAGGGGTGAGTTAACATAGTGACATTGTGACTACTAAAATGTTAAATTAATACCCACTCAGTTGTTAGTGAAATGTTTAGTGATATGTTAAGTATATGTTAACTATTTTTATTTCCTCCTTGTTAAAATATTAATATTGTTATCATAGACGAGATTAAAATATACCAATTTGTTGTATGTGTTTGTCTGTATATAAAAACACATTCATGACGCCACAATTAACAAAAAACATCCACGACATAAACATAAATTAACCTTTCATCAATATTGGTGTTTATACGAAAAATAAACACTTAATATTCTAAAGGAAAGAGGAAAACAAAAGAACTCTAAGTATCACATCTAGGAAATGGCTTCAAATAAATCCACATTCAATTCAATTCCTTTAAAAGACTTGAAAGCTCTCACAAGACACATTAAAGTAATCAGATTCTATGTCCGCACTTCGTAAAGATCTTCAAAACCTAAAGTCGATGTTTCAGAGAGTCGAGAAGTAGAGAGAGTCTTTACATTATAGTTCTTATAATGGGAAAGGTAAATGCTGCTGCTGCCGTGTATTTCGAAGCGCGGTTCTATGTTTCTGAGTTATATAGATTGAATTGGTGTGGTTAAGTTAGGTTAGGTTAGGTTATTTTATTTTTTCAGGTTCGGTTAAGTTTAATATTCAATACCATTCCAGAAACTCCCAATACTTCTGCAAATACTCCCAGACTCCTTTGTAAAACAGTTGAAATTAAGCTGTATAATCTGTAATATTCAATTCCATTCACTTAACACTAAAACTTAAAATTCAATTCACAAGAACCTCTCAAACTCGGGATATAAGTTGTACAAGTTTCTTTTAATATACAAATTTAATTCCTTTCCCTTGACTCTTTTAGGAATTTTAAATGTTGTCGGCGAAGTTTCTTGAATGTCTTGAGCTATAATGTCTTTAAATTCACTCTCATCCCTTTGACCCTAAAACACAATAAGTTTCCATACTAGATTTTAAGACCCTGAAGTTGTCCTGTAGTGTTTGTTTCTTTAAAAGTCTTTCATTCGCCTCTAAAACTTAAAATGTCTTCAAAAGAGCCTTTAAAACTCTGAGGCTATATTGTGGAACCTTTTTATAATGTGGTCCATTCATCCGAACCCTGCGAGTTTAAAAAGCTTTCACGTGATACTTTAAAACTTTAGAGTTAAACTTTATTCTCTACAATATTAAGTATCATTCATTTGTCTCTACAAACTTAGAAAATTTTTCACACTCCATATCTTCAAAACTCCTCAAGTTACGCCGTACAACTTTTTATAACATTTTGGTCCATTGTTTCCATTCGTTTGACTTGGAGTTTCGTAGACGATACTAGAGAGTTATGAGGCCCCAGGGAGCGTCGTCAGGAGGTGGGCGCCCCATCCTGGGAGATAAGTCATCCCCTCCACTTACCATAATGGCGGGGCTCGACGCGCGACCTTCACAGCCCACCGACTCTTGATACTAGTATCGATTTCCTTTGGTTGCAAACACACACTCCTGCCGATGCCTGTTGTTCTCAGCCAAGGGAAAATACCAATAGTATGTTTGTTCATGCGTAAAGATTTAGTGATTTTCTATATTCGGTCGGAAGGAGACGCGAAAACAATAAAAAAAAGAAAAAAAAAAGAAAAGATTACTTGCCTTTTTCGCGAGACAGAATTCTTGGCATAACTCTAGTGTGCGTCTTCTGAGCCTTTCGTGGAGTATAAAGAGGATACGATCACGTCACGCCAGTATTGAGTTATCCGCTACACTGATCATTATTACTAACACCTTACGACATGCGACAACGCTCCTATCACACTCGTATGACAGACTGGTACTAACTAACGATCTTATGGGATGACAAGAAAAACCTAATATTGGAAGAAGAAAATATACGTATGAATAATGGAATCAAGTCGAATGTACTAATGATATATAAAAAAAAAATCTTAAATGCAGTAAGTTGGCCAACAATGAATAAATTGAATTAGATTACAATTATATTCACCTCCAAGAAAATATAATAGTTAAGGGTATAAAATGATCTTACCTGACTGAAACCTACTGAAAGCAAGTTAAAACATCAAGGCATTAAGTGTTAAGACCAATGTGTGGTAGTAGTGAGCACTTACCCCGTCCATGGTCATAACTGGTCACTGCCGCTCTCTCCATCGCGCTTGTCTACTCTGCGAAGAATAAAAATAAATATATCAACCAAGATAAAAAAATGGGATAAAAGGCACACACAAAAAAAAATTAAGGAGTAAATTATCAATAAAATCCGCAATAAACACAATATGTATAAATAAAAAAAAAAAATAACGCACACTAATACCAGCAACTGATATCAATAAACACAGGAAGGAGGAACTAAAAGATACAAACATTGCCACTCGTAAATGTGTCTTCCTACTGTATGGCATTTTGTGGCCGGAACCAAGAGTAAACACATTCTCCCCCTTCATTCACTATCATGCCTTCACCACTCCAGTTGTTGTGAGAGCGAAGGCCTGGTATAGTGTTTCCCCCCCCCCCTTCCATAACAAAGCCCCAAGTTATCTATGTGTTTCGTCCTTATCGCTTCAACACAACTACTAGTATCAACCCCACACATCGGTAGTATACGTTCATATACACAAAAAACCAGTTGGCTTAAGCAAAAGACAATCGTAAAGTTCCCCACACCATTAGGATAAACAGTACCATTAATCGATATCAATTAATCCACGAACGTCTTAGCATCAAGGAACCGTCAACAGCAACAACAGCGAGACAACACAAAAACAGGAAGGTTGTAGGAGTGAGGCCTGTTAAGGGGGCACCACCAGCCGTAGGATCCGAGTCGAGTACCCAAGAACGTTACTCAAGCTCTTCCCCTCAGTTTATGCGAGAGAGAGAAAAAAAAAGAGTGCTGCCCGCGTTGTATTGCGTCCTATTGTGTTCCACCAGCAGACAGTGAAAGGGACTGGGGTGAGGGAGGGGCAGGGGGAGGAGAAAGACAGCCTTGTATGAGAATGGGGAGGAGAGAGGGAGGGAGGTAGGTAGGTGGGGCTATTAAAATGAAGGTAGAAAGTGTTTACGATCAGGTAGGATATTTAGTTTGTTTATCCCATCAGTCAATACTTCTTTAGTCCACAGATTCTGGAGTTTTGGTTCACCTGAAGATTAACGATCCTGACGCTATCTAAAGGTAAATCTTTCTTTCTTATGAACAGAATAATAAAGAAATAAATATCTCGTAACTGACCCTCCCTGGTATAAAAAACTATTCAAATATTGTGTCAAAGTACCTGCATCTCGTCATGGAAACCAGAGTAGTAAGGAGGGTATTACGCATTTTATTGTGAGCACTAGGAACGTTTCGCCACAACACACAAGACGCAAAGACGCAATATACGCATCTCTCTCACTACGCTTCATCATTTTCACCATGAACAAAAAAACAATGTCAGTTTGTTATCTTGCTAGTGAAACATTCTTCTTCCCAGACATCACACTAAACAGAAGGCTCATGGTTGGTTGCGTATTACCAATAGAACCACAAAACCCTTTATTATTTCAAAAGACGCATACCTAACCTAACCTAACCTAACCTACCTTCACGTTTAAAGATAACATGTTAGGTTAAATATCTGCTTTAATAAAACTAATAAAAAATAAAAAGAAAAAATCCGTTTCCATTAGTGAGATTCTTCGAGATCTATGTTAATATATATAATAGAAACGTGATTTTTTTTGTACTGTAAGAGAGAGAGCAACACTGGCGCCGCGTCCTGTATGCTACCGGTAGGTGAAGAATTTATTATCTTGACCAGCTATGTGAGGATTTCATTAAAAAAGTTTAGATGTACTTGTTTTGAGAAGGGCCTCTTGTTCCTCGTCCGTTAATTAAAAAAAAGAAAAACATGTATTACTGGAGCTAAGCGAGGAAGCAATGATGATGATAAGAATAATTAACGATAACTGTCAATAACAACAAGAACACCCACTAATGACAAGCAAAAATCACAATAACAATACACATCATGAACAATAAATTCAAACAATAATAATAACAACAGGCGTATTAACAATAGTAACAATCTCAATAAACTACAATACACTTGTCATGATTGTAATACTAACACGACTACAAATAGTAATATAAGCCAATGAAAGGTTGATTTACTCTTCTACAACATTCTTACTGTGATCTTGTACAATAGCAATCAACACGCAAGGTTTAATTCGATAAGCGAAATTGGTATCTCCATTCAGTACAATAACAAATGGCTCTCATGCTATGTTAATGGGAAGTCCTATATCATCTTGACGAAAATCTCTAATCCATGAAGGTAATATATAAGGTTTAATAATTTTTTTAGACGACTGCAGCGTATTTATTTATTTTATAGTAACAAAAAAACATCATCATGGTGTAAATAAACTTTTCTTGAGTACAACAGCCAGCATTACTAGGAGAGCCATGCATGAGTAATGAAGGATGAGAGAGCATGTGAGCACACTACACCATAAAGAAGTACAATGGTGGCTGGTGGTCGTCATAGAACGCGACTGTAAATTGTTGACGTGTATTGGCGCGCGTCATGGCTCGGTTGCCGGACTAACGCAACAGGAAATTTTCTAGATACAGGTGTTCATTTTTTTCTTTCTCGTACAGACATTGATAAAATTATTAATTTATTTTCGTTAATGAATATAACTAACGAATTATTATACATTACTATTGATAAGGGATGATGTTTACAATTGGTCACAAACAACTCCATGTTAAAGAGTATTTTAAAGACTACGTTGTTCCTTGTTTATTATATTTTGTTTACAGTAGAAACCGGGTCAGTTTTTTATAGCTGTCAGTACAGTACTGTCAATATTGCGAAACAACACTAGTTTGTTGATATACAGTTGGCAGTTACTCTTTTCTTCACTATAAAAAGAGATACAAGAAAAAGTATAAATAAACAGCTATTTCCGTTATTATTATCCAAGTATTATTTTTTGATGACTTGTCCGCCCCCCCGTCCGCCCCCCCCCCCCAAGCAAAATATTTCACGATCATTACCAGACACACTGAGAAGAACACAACAGGCTCCAGAGCGTGTCAGCCAGGCTACGTGTGGTTGGGGGCGCGTAGTTTGTTTCTAAAAATAAAGCAGCACTTCCAAGATGAACCAACCTACCTTTCTTTACCTTACCAGCCTAGATTAAAATTAGTCAAGTCAGATTAGTTTGGCGAGGTTAGGATAGTTAGATTTGGTTGGTTCGTGTAATCTGGTTTTTAAAAATGTTAGGCGCTCCATCCAATTACAACCTGGCTGATGGGCGTTCTCTAGACGCGTGTTTCCAATTAGCGCTGCACAATAAACCCAAAGTGAGAAAAACTTCAAAAAACACCGTCCCTGGTGCGGGTTGTTATGGCTGGCGTGCTTGACGGCTCGTGCTGCTGGCTAGTGTGTCAGTTTTATCGTGAAAGATGTGGAATATATTTCTAACAAGCCTCAACTCTTAGGGGGATTTGCGACAACAAATCCCAAGCTTGGTGCCGGAGCCTTGAGGAACGTGCAAGAGGAGATTACACATAGGGATTTAACAGCACTACCCCCTTAAGCTCTGGTCTTGCCCAGGTCCTCACTGTAAACACGAACCTCTTGTGACAATCTTACCTTGTGCGTTTATAAAATTGTGAACACCTCTCTCAGTGAAGTGTTTGTGTGAATGTTATTGAAGTTATACTAGTGAATTTTACTTTCGTATTTTTTTATTTTGTTGTACTTATTTGGAATATTTTTAGTATCGTAGTCTGTACTAGGATTAAATGTTTATAATAATAATAATAATAATAATAATAATAATAATAATAATAATAATAATAATAAAACAAAAAATTTTGACAATATAAAATAAACCAAATCTCATGCGTTTGTGAATAAGAAGAAAAAAATCACTTCTCTACTGTATATACTAAGATAATTCATTGCTCAATAACGCCCCCGAAGACACAAACACTGGAGATATCCTGTTACATGTGACGCTTATAGGTACATCAGCGTTCATTGTCCCGTTTCCTGAACGAGAAGAATGCTAACGGGTAATGCAAGACACTCAACCCTGGCTAGCTACCTTCTCAGTGCCCTGGCTCACACACACACACACACACACACACACACACACAGACGTTATTAATAATGTGAAAATGTATATCTAACCGGCTGATTCGAGTTAAAGGTAATTCATAACGTCCAGAAATAATAATGTAAATATAATCAAGGCATTATTATTAAATTATAAGGTTAATGAACAAAAATAACCCTTAACACAATATTCTTCCTCCACTACTACTGCTATGACTATTCCTCCCCACAAACCACTACCCTTACCCCTACTATTACTACTACTACTACTACTACTACTCACACTCCTACCACCACTACCAATAACCTCCATCATGGCCACAATAACCAGTCATCCCACACTGACAAACACGTAACCTTACCTCACACGCAACACACATTTCCCGGCTTCACCTCAAATGCCGCGCTTGTATTTATGAGCAATGAACCGGAGTTTTTTTTTAAAGCGAGCTGATACACACACACACACACACACACACACACACACACACACCAGGGAAGAGACCTTAACCTTTCAGTTCTCCTCAGTACTTTTAACTCCCCACAGTTAGATTGGCTGGGTGATAGATTTGGGTACGTTAGATTAGGAAGAGTTTGTTTGAGGCGAGAGATTTGTTGTCACTGATAGGTTGGGTTTGGGTAAATACGGGTAATTTAAGGTATTTTTTAGATTTTGTTAGGTATTCTTGGATGAATTTGGTATTAAAAATTTTCTGCAGATAAAAGAACGAATAGCAATTACCTAGTCAATTTTACGGGTTATATATCGATACATTATATATACGAGTTCATTAAAAGAGCCCTAATTATATTTTTTCATCTTCACTTACGCGGAATATTCATTATAAGGACTTTCAAAAAAATCTTGGAAAATAACATCTAGTTGTAGTTCGTCCCGCGGCCACCACACAAGAATGGCGCCACATGCACACACACTCCCCTTGTCGGATCCCGCCTTGGTCCCACAAGATACGGGAATATCTTAATGGAATATGATCAGTTTCCGACGTGGTGGCTCCACAGATTTCCTACATTTCCTCTCGAGAATCTGATAAGATTGCCAA